CCATGTGTAGCCTCTGAGGCAATCTGTAGCAAGATGTGAACTCCCAAGGGCTTGGGTGGCACCACCCCTGCAGCACTGCTGGCGGTTGTAACTCCCATGGCTTCCCTCTTGGGACCACGCTGCTCGCTCCCTCCTTGTAGTTTTCCTCAGATGATCCATGTTCTTGGCTTCTCCAAACTTCTGGAGTCTCCACTGCACCTTTGGCTTCACATTCACAGATTCACACACTGCCCTGCCTTCCAGGCCTTCCTCTGAAATCTGGGTAGAAGTTTTTCTGAACCTGAAATTCTTCCATTCTCCATGCACCTAAAACTAGTGGCACATAGATGATGCCAAGACTGCTGCTGGCTGGAGAAGTAGCCAGGCTTCTTGTTCGGCTGTAGGGGCTGAGGCTGCAGAGGGTGGAATCCTGCTGCTTCTTGTGATACCCACAGGCCATCTTTTCTATTGTCCTATTCTTCCTCAGCAAACTCTCATCTGCTCTATCTTTGAAGTCCACAGCTTTACTGAAGCTTCCTTTCTGGCAAACTCAAAACATTTTAAATCATTCTGCTGGACTCTGCTCTTGATTCTCAACATAAATCTGGCTAAAAGTCCCCAATAGCAGCCATGCCACAGCTTCAACAGTAGATTGCCTTTAAATTTCTTCTGCCAGATCAATTAGTCTGCCATCCTTAATCTCAGTCTCAGGCAAAGTCTTTGGACATGAACAAAATGCAGATAAACTTTTTGCCAAGATATAACACACATTGTCTGGAATCCAACAGCCAATGCAGTCCTTCTTCCCAGCAGAAACCTTCCATGCCTGATCTTTACAAGCAGGATTTCTATCAGCCTTCTGGTAGAAGCTCTGACCAGAATCTCCCATACAATACAGCCTAAAACATTCTAGCTCTGTTTTTTTTTTTGTTTTTTTTTTTCAGCAAAAATCTCCAAACCTTTCCAAACTCTACCCACAAGCCATTTCCAAAGGTGCTTGAACCACATAGTTAGGTATAGTCACAACAGTGACCCCACTCCTGGTACCCAATTCTATCTTAGTTATAAATCAAAATCCTATGGTAATTCTGTTTAATTTTCTTGAGGAACTGCTGCAGTGTCTTCCAAAATGGCCATACCATTTTGCATTCCCATCAACACTCCACAAAAGTTCTAATTTTCCACATTATCACTAACACTTTTTGTGTGTGTGTCTTTTTGAGACAGGATCTCCCTATACAGTTTAGGCTGGTCTTGAGCTCACTTTATAGCTCAGGCTGGTCTCACACTTGCAAACATCCTCCTGCCTCAGCCTCCTGAGTGCTAGGATTACATTTGTGTGCCACCAGACCCACCACTAATACTTATTAATACCCTGCTTCTAAGATTTTGTGTCTGTGAGGTTCAGAAACTTATTGCTGAGTAACAAATTGTCCTGAAACTTAGCAGCTTAGAACAGCAAGCATTTATTATCTCATAGTTTCTGATATTCAGGAACCTGAGTGGTTATACTGGGTGGTTCATTCACTCTCCTTTCCCCACCAGCCCCAAGCAAGTACTCATTTGCTTTCTGCCACTGTAGGTCAGCTTCTGTTTCCTATAATTTTGTATTAGTGGAACTATATAGTGCATATTTTATGTGTACTTTCTTGTGTTTAGCATTTTTTTGGTCTTTTTTTTTTAAGGCAGGATTTTGTTATGCAGTTGAGGCTGGCCTTGAACTCACTTTGTAGCCCAGGCTGGCCTCGAACTTGTTATATAGCCCAAGCTGTTCTTAAACTTACAATCCTCCTGCATCACCCTCCCAAGTGCTTGGATTATAGGTGTGCCACCATTCCTGGGCAAAATTTTATATTTAATATTATTATAGTTTGTGTCTGGATGTCCCCCTAAAGCCTCATGCAGTCATGGGGATGGACTTTTCAGAGGTGACTGAATCTAGAATCTGTGACTGATTCATGGTCCAAAGCTGGGATTATGGGTGTGAGTGTTACATCCGCCCTAGGCGGTACATGTAATGTACATGTAAAATGTACGTCCTCATACAATGTAAAGGACAGAAAGAGGTTTGTACCCTTCCTCTCTCTCATGTTGCTTTTGCTATGTTCTGCTGCATGAACAGTTGCCCCTTTGTCATGAGCCAACCTTAATGCCAGTGGATTATGGACTGAAACCTCTATAAACTGTGAGCTAAATAAACCTTTCCCCCTTTAACATTGGGTATTGAATATTTTGTCACAGAGACGAGAAAGAAAATACATACATGGCAGTATTTGGGATAAAACTGAAGGCCTTGAGCATGCTACACAAGTATTGTACTATTATAGACAACTAAATTGGGTAGAAAGATTGCAGCCAGACAGGGCTGGGCCTTCAAGGGAGTCAAGACAAAAGGTGAAAACCCACTACAGCTGTGGCCAGAGACACATCAGATGGATCTCAGGCCTCGAGATAACAACGAAAGAACCAGACCTACATACACTGTGGGGGTGAGCTAAGTGATAACACCTGGTCTGGATAGGCATCTGTCACCTCAGTGGGCAACCAAGACCCCAGATCCCTCACCTACCTGAGAATTTCTTTGATTTTTCCATGCCTGCTGGCTGTGTGGCTTACTTCTCTACTGAATCAATATTACTTAAGAAGCTATACTTACAATGTTATTGGTTGATCGTAGTTGTAACTCACATTGTACCCGGGTAGGTATTGCTCTATAAAATTTCCCTATAGAGTGGGATCCCTGCCTACCCATTCCGGACCCTTCCTGTTCCTCTGACAGGAGATTTCTTTCTATCTTTCAGTAAGTATTTCCTACTCTTAACCTTCAGTTTTTAGAGAACACAAACTGGGTATATCAGACATCTAACAGGTTGGGAAATGTAATATCTCTATATCATATTTGGAGGTTCTGATGCCATCCCTGTAATGCTGAGCCTAGGAGGGCTAGCGTTATTTTGAGTGTGTGAGTATTCTGTTTCTTTTTATTGCTGAGTTTTGTTCCGCTGAAAAATATCGTTCATTTGTGTTGTCTAGCCCTATTTTGTTTGAGATGCGGTCTTTGTATTGCCCGGGGTGGCCTGCAACCTTTAGGCTCAAGTCAGCTTGCTGTATCAGCAAGATACCACAAGGAGCTTCTGAGTAGCTGGGACTACAGGCATATGCCACCTCACCTGGCTTTGCACCCCTGTTGGTGGACATTTGGAGAGTGATCTTAGAAGCAGGCAGGGGCCAGGTCCTAGTTAAATACAGGGTGGGTTCAGTACAGCCTTGGAGAACCCCTTCCACCATAATCAGAAGGCAAGAGGTCAGCCCTCCCCACAACCCCCCCGCCATCCAGTGGATAGGACAGGAAGAGGTGGGAGGGTGGATGAACAGGCAGGCAGGGAGGCCACGAAGCTGTCAGACTCTCAGCAGACCTGAGTTCCTGGGTCTACCCAGGGGAAACATAGGCACAGAAAAGGCTTTAATGGGACTCTTGCTCCAGCCAGAGGGAGTCCTAGCACTGACAAAGGGCAGCTCAGGCCAGCATTTTTCAAACAAAAGGCAAGAGATAGCTAAATAGAAAATGCTCCTGCCAAAAGTTCCCACCCGGGTCCTCCATGTAAATAAAGGATTCAGACTCGGAGAGGGCGTCTGGTCAGTGTCGGCTCTGCTGCAGGCAGCTCACCCCTCAGCGTGGACTCCTAGGCAGAGGCACGCTTTTAGGAGGCTGATCCTGGCTTGGCTCCTAGGCAGTGTAGGATGAAAGTGGGATGTGTTTGTAGCGACTGTATTTTTAACTCTGGGTTGTGTGTCAGCCCTGGGTCCCCATTTGTGTTCTCGTTTGGTTTGGCTCTGAAAGCAGGGGAAAAAGAATGGTTCCTGCCGGGCCCCGTTCCCAATGTCGGACAGTTTTATTCCATTTTGAGTGGCCCCTGACTGCTTCAGTACCACAAGGGGCGTGAACAGGTGACAGCCAGTGGGTCTGTGTGGGAGGCCAGGCCTAGAGTGATCCAGTCGGAAGGCCAGAGCAGGGCATTCAGTTCTGAGGCTGCCATGGTCCTCCTTCTTCCATTTCTGGAAGCGTAAGCGGGCACACGTCTTGAGTGGAGAAAGCTCAGTCTCCTGCTCCGAGTCACACTCCAGTGAGGAAGCCCTTGGAGTTCCAGGAGGAAACGAATTGCTCTGTGTGTGCCGTGTCTGGGAAGGGTGGAGAGTGGCTTTGCGTCCGGAGCAAGGAGGCCTCGTGGCAGGCAGCACAGTATATGGAGGGGACTATGTCGACAGAGGCCACAGGTCCAGACCTTCAGGTATAAGGGGGTCAGCTCCTGCTTTTGACCCTGCAGCCCTGATAAGAGAAAAATTCAGAGACGTCCTTCATTTAATTACAGTGACTCAACGATGGAGGAGAGGAGAGATACAGGAGTTACTTAGTTAACTGCTAAATCCAGAACAACAAAAACCATATTCCAAAATGTATGTTGAAACCTTAAACCCAGTGTGGTGTCACAGATCTGTAACCCAGCACTGAGGAGGCTGAGGCAGGGGGATCGCCTTAAAACTCAAGCCAGGTACATAGTGAGTTCAAAGCCAGCCTGAACCACATAATGCTACCCTATCACCACCACCACCATCACGACAGCAACAACAACAGCAGCTTAAAATCTTCAGTCAGGTCCTGTAGCCACCGCTTAGATGCCACTGTATGCTGCTCACCATCCAAATGATCCTCAAGCAACCACTACTGCTCCTTGTCAGCTGCCCTCTACCTCTACTCCCAAGCACTCCTGGCTTCCATTACCTCCTCTCCTTACCTGTAGGCATGTGAGTTCAATTCAGAACATCCATGCCTGCCTTCCCCAAGTTTTTAAATAAAACTATTCTTAGCTCTAGGTCCAGGGGACATATTTCCAGTGCTCTCTATCCTTGCTTCCGGCAGTTGCTGGAATGTGTCCCAGGACCTGGTCCTTTTTCTGGCTAACACCTGTAAAGGCACAATAAACCCCTTTACTTCAGAGAGCTCTTGGTCTCGAGCTTTGGGTTGACTCATCCCGTGCCGCAATCCTCTGTAAGATCCTGGGCCGGGTTCCCCACAGATGAATGATGCTCCACACTTGCTCAGGGTGGGCTGCGGGTCTCAGACAGGACCATCCCCGTTCCTTCACGTCCTCGTTTTGCTGCCTTTCCCCACCCCACAGTCGCTTCTCCACAGATCCCGGCTCTCCGGGATGCCTGCGCAGACCAGACCTCCAGACAGCTGGGAGCATGTGGGAGATGGAGACGCTGCTCCGCGAAGCCTGAGTCAACTCTCACTGTAGTGCTTTTTCTTCTTTCTTCCTCCTTCTCCTCCCTCCCTTCTTTCTGTCTTCTCAAAACTCTGGGGTCTGCCTCCCATCCCGCAAATCCCCAGGGCTGCATACTTCCGGCAGCCCAACTGCCCCCCATCCCCTGCCCCAGAAACAGGGGTTCCCTAGAGCCCTAGAAGAGCTTTGGGGTCTGAGAAAGATACAGTCCCCCGGACATCCTTGGGAGGCCTGGCTTCCACAATCGCTAGGGCCGGGACAAGGACCCCGGGCCCAGAGGGGCTGGATTGGTCGGTGAGCCCGAGGCGAAGAGGCCCCGCCCTCTGGTTGCCAGGGCTCAGCCAATCCGCGTCCAGGCTGGTCTTGGTTTCCAGGTGGCTGCGGGGGCAGGGTGTCGGAGCAGGTGCACGAGAATATGTAGAGGGAGGTGGGGGTCTCTAAGGAATCGCCCCTCCAAGCCCCTCTGCTTGGGTCTCTGTGCTCGTCAGGAGCAGCCTCGGAAACCGGCCTCTCCCCTACTCTACCCCCAACCGCGGCAAGGCCGCCCCTCCCTCCGGCGCGCCTCTCCCCGGCCCCTCCGCGCGCTCCCGCGTCTGGCTCGAGCGCGCGCCCTGGGC